TTCAGCTGGGTGCTAGCGGTGATAAAGGTTGTAGAGCACAGGATGTTGTCTTCCCTTTTCAGCTGTGATAGCAGTCCCTGCTGGCCAGGACAAATGACTGAAGGAAAGGTCTGCTCTTCCTCTGCTTCAGTTTTGTTAGAAATGTCAGCTCTTGGAAATGTATATAGGAGCTGTGTGGAGGTGGAATACATTCCGTTCAGCTTCTCTGCTCTGAAGATAAAATTGCTGGTGTGATTTGAAATACTCAAAACTTGGTTAAATTTGGAAGTTTTCAATGGCATAGGAAAAAAGAGTTGAATTATTTTCTGGACTTTTCTGAAACATTTAGATGGAGATCAAAGTCTCAGCCAAACCAGTTTAAAAAGTTACAATCAACTGAATGCTAGACTGTGATTTTGTAATGATAAATACCAGCCAAATTTAACTTAGTATTTACAGTATATATTTTAGAGATGGATAATCATGCCAATGTTATCTGTTGAAAGAAAAGTAGATGACTCCTTTTTGCCCTCAAATAATAATTCCCTTGGTGTCAAGTAGATCTAAACTATCAACATAGTTATTTCAGCCCAAAGACAATGTTGTTAATGTTTTTTATCCTGTTAATGTATTATTTGTTTTCCATTAAGTTCTGTGTTTGTACTGATGTTTTCTCAAGCTAGTGATATACAATATGACATTGATTTCTTAATAGTTTCATCATAGATTGTCTGTTGAAATCTGACTCATATTTTATAATGCTTTCCTGTTTTGCTTCATGAAATGCAGATTTGACCCCTCCTAATGTAGGTACTGTATTTAGTACTTTTCTGTACTCCATAAAAGTGTTTATTCTGCAATTTTCCGTTCTTTTTTTTCCCTATTGTTTAGTCATCTGTCTTCTTCTGGTTGATTTTTTGCATTGTTCTTACATTTTTCTATTGTTTTAATATGCCATCATAAGTAAAAGGGAAGGGAAAAAGCCCCACAGCATATAAAACAAGGGCAAGAGTTGCAGTAAGTCAAATGCCATACAGGTATTTTAGAGGGTTTAGCCAGTAAGGGCTTTCCATGAACCAAGATTTCAAGCTGTAGGCATGTGTGAGTGAGTAGAGCTTCTTGAAAGTTTTCATTTTCCTGTGTACATTCAGTCTTTTCAGGGTCTGTCCCACCCGATCAGCATGGTGTGGCTGTCCTCTTCAGTTAAAGACAGTTAATGCTGTGCATAAACTGACATCCACCCTGATAATGTGTCTGGTGATCTGCACTGAAATATGGAGAGCATATCTCTCAGGAATACTGACATAGCAAAATGAACATTGGATACTGTGTGGGGGTGGAGAGCTCAGTTATTGCACCACCTTTGCATATTGCTGCTGATCTAAGGAGCCCCTCGCTTGTGGGGAAAGCAGCAGTTTGGAGTCAAAGTCACAAAGAAAGCTGAGTACTTGGGGGGAGGAAGAGGAGGGACTTGTGTCCACCCACTTTTCCTCCAGCATATATGTCCTGTTGCTTGGATTCGAGGCAGCCTTCATGGCTGCCACCAGAAGAGGGTTAAGTACTCCCACTTAGGCTGGCTGAACTTTGGATGCAACTGTATCTTGAGTTCAGTTGTGTTCCAGAGATAATCTTAGATTTATTCCAAGTTTCTTGGATTCTTGCTCCCCTCCCTATGGCTGCTCTCCACTCAGTTCCACAGTGTAATGATCTCAAAAAAAGAGATGGCAATATATATAAAGGATACTACCAAATTTGCTCCTCTCTCTTTTGTGTAGCTCTGCCCCCTTTCTGCAGTTTCCCAATGATTTTGGCTATCTGCTGCACCACTCAGCAGAAGATATGCTCCTGATAGGATCACAAGGTATATTTTGAATAAAAGAATAGAGAGAAAAAATCGGTCAGTTCTCAGCCGTCTGGAAAACTTATGAACACTCATGTATTGCATGATAAAGTGGCTTGTTTTGAGTGGCATATTAAATATATGCTGGGTTTAGTTCCGGGACTCTCACTTTCCAAAAGGGTCCTGGCCCAGCCTGCATGCTCTTGCTTCTGCTTGTCTACTTTGGATTCTCCTGACAATGTTAAGCAAGCATTTTAAAATCCTCAGTCTGAGTGCAGTTGCTGAGTATCTGGTTTTGTGGCTACGCTGTTTAGTAAGAGTTCACTAAATAACCTTGGTACTGTCTTTGTAATGGACAAGTATTCCTAAAAGCACTTTGCAGTCAGTATTTTAGTTACTGCAAATCAACTCGAAGCTCAGTAACCATAAAATTATTTTTAAAAGCACAAGGCACTTGCTTCAAAATACTATCATCTCAAATATATTCTTTAGAAACTTAAATTATATATCATTCTTGAGTTATGATTGTTTTTAAATGGAAAAACTGATATTTTTAATAACTTTGTCACAAAGTGTGGTTGTTCTTTTAAATTTTTAATGTAGCAAGAAATACATGAAACAAAGCTCTCTGATCTTGCAAAATAGTATTTTTCTTTGTTTCTTCTGTTTCATCAGTGGCTCTGTGGTTATTTTTACAAGTAAATATTTGAAACAAACACTAATTTGAATTGCATATGAAAAGAAAATTAGAAAATGTATCAGTAAGCTGAATATCAGCTATTTTATAATAATTGGAAAGGAAAGAACCTGGTAAGATGGCTGAAACTTTAAAAATAAAATTTATTCTCTTAGAAGCTGTAAACTACAGCTGAAATTTCTGAAGTCCAGAGCTTTTTCTATAAAAGGGTAAGAGACCTAGATTAAAATGGTAGCTTCTATCTAAAATTCAATGTTATGACATAGGTCTAGGCATGAAAAGATAATATTAAAGAGATTTTCTTTCTAGTCTAATGATAAATACATGTTTACACAGTAGCTTCATTTTACAAAAATATTCTCTAGTCAGTCTAGAAGTGCAGTACTAAATGAGACAGTTGTCATGCTATATAGACTTCATCAGACAAACGTGGTATTGTTACCCTCTAAGGAGCAAATGAAAACAGCAGAGAAAAATTTTGCTTAGATATTTGTGCTTCAGTCTGAAAAAATCTGCTCTTTCATTGTTTGGAGAGGTTTTCTCCCTCCTCAGTGTCTTCCCTGTTTTCTTAACTGTGGATTATCAACCCAGGGGAACAAAGTGATGAGGTTATTCCAAGCTTACATATTCAGGCTAAATATTTTCTCAAATGCTCCTCTTTGATGCAAAAGAAAACAGCTTATGCAGCACTGATTCACATGTATATGGCTACAGAGATGTTGTAAAATTTAGGTAGAGTTATATGTAGAAAATTAATTCATTATTGCAAGCTGTAACTTTATAGAGAAAGATAATTAGGTTAGGACTCGTGATTGTAATAATAAAAGCAATGTATGTCAGGAAAGTGAAGATTGGGATTTACTTCTAATGAATTTTCTGCAGTTATTATAAGTAGAATTGCTAGTTAAAATTGTGAGGATAACTGGCCCCCTCCGCAGTATAAATAGCTTCACAAAGTTAACCAATACAACACTACCTCTCCATGTTTTCAGTGCAAAGAACTAAAAAAAAATGAAATCTGTTGTTTTGGGGAGGCCCTTTGCAAATTAATATTTACAAATTCTGTGAGGGGAGAGTGGAGTTGTAGTGCCTCATGTGTTAGTCCTGACTTTTAATTAAAATATGTTATTTCTCTCAAACTCTTGAATGCAGTTTCCACTTATTTTAGTTTCAGGAAATTATTATTAATCATGTCCATGATATATGAATTATGTGAAATATAACAAAAAATAATTTCTGTATTTTATCAAATTGTATTTACTGAGATAAATATAGTCTAATAATACTACTCCCTGTAGTTGCCCTGCCCTGTGCCCAGAACTGAGTGAATCTGAATTGCATAGGATTGCCTTGCCTTGTAGTATAGACTACTGTTTGGGAAATTATGAACTCTTTTTGGGGTGGGAGGGGGGTGGTGAGAGATATGAGAAGCATTTAAACATTGCTCATTAAAGTATTTTCTCCAATAACTTATACAGAATTGTATTTGTCACCATAGGAGAAAGTAAGGAAGAAAGGACTTTCAGAAACTGGATGAATTCACTGGGTGTAAGCCCATATGTTAATCATTTATACAGGTAAGATTTTTTTTTTAAATAATTATTTGACTTCCCTTGGGTAACAGGGGAAGGAATAAAGAAGAGGGGGATGTTGTATTTCTACTAGAATAGTGATTTCCAGGTTTCCTCTTCAAAACTGGTCTGTAGGAACACATTAAGCAGTATCTGACTTGAATATTCTAGTTATAATCTAGATAGACTAGAAAATTTAAGGAGGTTTAAATCTTCCCCCCTCACTCACTTGTACATTGAATTACATTTTTTAAAAGTTGAGATAATTGTATTTTATGATGCATCATTTTTATTTTTTCAGTAGACTGTAAGAAGCTCTGCAGCGTAGTATTCCCTCAGATGAAGGGCTTTATAACAAGATTTTTAGATGCTTCTGGTCACTTTCAAATTATGCCAGAGGTTGTTTCAAATCCTGTCAATAAAAGATGAGATTGAGGGAGCAAATGGGAACATCTGCTTGTATGTTTATTTACTAATTGGTTTCATTATTTCTGTTTTTTGACCTCCGTAAAGTGATCTGTAGGTAGCTTAATGTGAAGAATTTCATTTGTTAAGTAGTTGATGGGGATTATCAGTATTGCAACATATAATGGGAAAATAATACCTTTCCTGCTATTCTTCTTTTGCAAGATGAGTTAATTGGTTTTGATTATTCTTTAGCAAAATACATCTGTAGGTATCTGCTGATAAAGCATGAGTGTTTAACATTTGGGAAAGTCCTTGGAGAACTAAAGCTAGATCAATAAATTAAAACTCTTTTAGCATCTATTTTGTCATGCCTACCTTATGAAAGTAATTATTTAATTGAAGCCAGTGACTCAGCTCGCTTCACTAAGATTTGTGAAACTAATGAAATTAAATGCAGAATTTGGTGTATATGATTGCAGGAATCAAGCAATAGAATCTAGGCCAGTTTCTTTACAGAACAGCACCAGTTTTTATTTAAGTGTCTGGAATTTTTCAGCAACTTAATTACACTGGTCTCAAGTACTTACTTTGGTTGTCAATCTGTGCTTTTGTGCTTAAACCAATTGTTTTGCTCTGGGTTTAGTGACCTTTCTGATGCTTTAATCATCTTCCAACTGTATGACATGACGCGTGTCCCGGTTGACTGGAGCCACATCAACAAACCCCCTTACTCACTGCTCGGGGGCAACATGAAAAAGGTGGGTGCATGCCCTGGGAGGCAGCCCAGCTCCACTGCCTCCCACTGTGCTGATAGCAGTCTGTGCTGTCGAGATTTCTGTGCTAATGACACAGTCCTGGGAGAAAAAAAAACGGAAAATATATTTGTCAGATGTTATCCCAAAGAATAAATATATCACCTTGGTTTCTACATGTGGACACCTTTTAGCGATATGTAATTTATGGCCTGATTTGGCTCTAGAAGTGGAAGCTTCAGGCCTAACGTGGCTGTTGTTGCTGGATGCTCCTATACTGTGAGCCATTTCCTCCCAGAGCAGTTTTATTTGCTGCACAGAGGATTTGGGCAAGACTTGCAGAATCCAAAGTTTCACATAGTTTTGTGATTGTTGTGAAGCCTGAAATGTAGAGGATAAAAATTACTGCCTGCTTAAGAAGAACACATTTCAATATCTTTAAAAGTATAGTTTTGAAATAAATATATTTTATTCACTGCCTTAGTGGAAACTTGGTTTTCTCAAATGTGGAATCTTGCGTAATTGTACTTATAGTAAAAACTGTGTTATTTTAATCACAGTGTAGCTAGACTGGAAATATTTTCTAGCTTCAGATCTTACTGTAGGTAACAGTAATACAAAGTAATTTAAAATACTTTTAAAAAGTATTTTAAAGTAATTTAAAGTATTTTAAGTAATTTAAAGTACTTTAAAATACTACAGATTATAGGTCTGTATTGCAGAAATACTAATATGTTTTCATTATTTGCACACAAAATTTATTTTTAGATTGAGAATTGCAATTATGCAGTAGAACTTGGGAAGACAAAAGCCAAATTCTCACTGGTTGGTATTGCTGGACACGATCTAAATGAGGGTAATCCAACTCTGACTTTGGCTTTGGTATGGCAGCTGATGAGGAGGTAAGTTAGGCAGTATATTATAGATGTGAATATATGTCTGTGCATGTGTGTCTGTAAATCAAGGCAAATTAAGGGTAGTGTTCAGGTCACCCAACTGGTATTGTAGTGAGCAATCTCTAAATATCCCTATGCTCAAAGATAAAATTGTATATGTGTTTTGTAATTTTATATACTGTGCAGTGATTGAAACAGCAATTTATAGTGACAATTAAAACCTTATAAACTAGAAACTGTGACTAAAATTATAAATCCTACAGCAAGTAAAAAGACCTCAACTTATTTAATGTTGTTTCCTTGTATCTTTCTGTAAGTAGAGATTAATTTAAATATTTGTAAAACCCAGGGAAGTGGTGATACATATACTATAGAAGTTAAAAAGGTAAAAAATTGTAGGCCATCACAGCTATAGTTACATTAGTATCATTAAATCAAAATGATGCTACTGTATTGAGCAAGTAAAAAATTATTATAAAGTGATTTCATTAAGGATTGTTTTATTGCAAATGTTTTTTCTCAAATTAGTTTTCTCAGACCTATCTCAAAACACTTAGTGATTTTTGTTCTCAGACTGCTGTGATTCAGTTTTTTCCCCTACTAGGATGGTAGGGAGCCATTTAAACTTAGAAAGTAAAATTAATTATGATGTACTGAGTAAAACAAATGCATGAAGATGATACAGTGAATATTATGACATTTGGGATATTTTATTATTTTATTCAGTAACCACTGAAAAAGTGATTTTAAATGCTATATAGTTTGTAAGGTAAGGGTAACTTACGAAGAAGAGTACTTGGCATTGTTACTGTAATGAAGTAATATTTTACCTCTGCTTGTAGCTTTGTAAGAGAAGTTGAGTTCTACCACTCATTTTAACTTGGGCTTTTGTTCTCTTCATTGAAGGTATACTTTGAATGTACTATCTGATCTTGGAGAGGGCGAAAAAGTAAATGATGAAATTATTATTAAGTGGGTGAATCAAACACTTGCAAAAGCAAATAAGAAAACTTCAATTATAAGTTTCAAGGTAATCAATTTTTTTTTACTTTTCTTTCCACATACAGTAATACCTGGGATTTTTAACCGGATCTGTTAATGATTTGGTTTGAACAGTGGCTCTCCCATCGACTAGCAAAACTGGTTATGGAAATACTTCTGCTAGTCTTTGAATCTTCAAAAGCACTTTACAAATATATTGACAAGTAAAAGAATTTATAGTAGCTGCAGTAAGATACAAAGCAAAAAGCCCAAAACCAAAATAACTTTAAACTTTCAAAGGGGCTTCTAATCTGAAATTACCAGTCTTGGGCCTGGCATGTCGTATATTTTCCAGGTTTTTGTATATAGGCACTCTCATGCTTGTACAGACAAGAAAGACGATTTTGGAAATACCGGGGGCATATGACCACTTCTCCTAGGATCTGGTTAAAAGGATGTTCTCAGTGTGACAGAGCCAGGAGAGGGAGCCCAGCATAGCCAGCGACACCTTGTGTCGTCCTTGGCACTGCTGAAGTGCAGCAGGCCGGGGGAAAACAGGACCTGTTCCCGTCCAGCATGTAAGAACATATTGATAATGAAGCTTTCCTTCCACATTACTTAAGTGTTCAAAACGAAAGAAGCCATATGTGTGTGTCAGGTGTGTTATTCTGTGCGGATCTCTTGCTCAAGAAATGGCTGATTAATAATGGCACACAAATGTAACATTCTTGTACAGGTTCATTTTATAACCTAAAACACTTGTGTCTCTGATTCAAAACAGGAGAACCTAGCAACTTAAGTATTCACTATGTTATGAATTTTAATTAGGTAAGCGTCATTAATCAAAAAATTTAGTAAAAATATTTTAATTTATTTTTAGAAGATAACTCAAGCTTTCATTTTCTTATGAGATGTTGTTGCTTCTCTTCTACAAAAAGTGTTATAATGGTGGTATTAAATAAACTGAAAGTATGACAAGAATCTGTCCCAGTATCTTGCCTTTGGTATGCCTGTGTTTTTGGGGGGACATTGGTTGTGTTTTTAAGGTCATTGAAATGGTGATTTTAAGATAATTCAACTGATGGTTAACCAACAAAGATAAGGATGTACTGATGTAAATGACACTTTTCAGTATTCATTTTTTACTTCTAATTTTTTACAACATTCACATAAATATTGCCTTTCACTGTTTGGGTTTTGGGATCACTATGGCAAGCAGACTTTAGAGAAGTGCCTTATATTTCACTGTGGACCATGAAAGCCAAGTTCTGTTGTATTGCCATTAGTTCAAACAGTAAAAATTATTAAGGTGTGTCTTATGGTGCTGGGGACTCCATGAATTTAATGCCTTGAAGCAGAATTATATTAGTATTTTTAGGTGTATAATTAGTGATGGCTCTGTGGGACTTCTCTGAATTGGCAGTCATAGTTCTGACCTGGTGACAACTGCAGCTGTGCCCCGTGGCTGTGCTCAGCCACTGCAGGGCCTGAGCCAGCCTCAGGGCACTGGCTGTGCTTGCTTTGGCATCAGCAGCTCCTTCTCTGCCCAGACAGTTGGGATGGAATGATGGCAGCAGGAGGACTTGCTCTTTTAGAATCTCTGTGTATTAAATACGAAACACAGACTGCTCACGCTAGCTCAGAATACCATCTCGGTTGAAATATTATAGAAAGAGTGAGCCATAAACTACTGGAGAAAATAGTTCCATGGAAAGAAAACAAGGAAAATATATGTTTGGGGACATGTAAGGATCTTTTTTATTGTCTTAAAAGTCTGGTCCTTGAACTTCTGTCAAAATTCCCTTCCTTCCTTAGGGCTTAAGGAGGGAAGTTTGATTAAATAAATTTAAACCATGTGTGCAGTAGTGATACCAGCATGGTGAGCATTATAATACTGATGGAAGAAAAGAACATTAGAATTCATAAAGGGTGAGGAAAACCTTCACACTATGAAGTAAGGAAACAGGCTTCTATCTTTCAGTATGCATGCAAGATGTGCTGTAGGTTTTTTTGCATTTTGAACATGGAATACTCAAAGCAGATTGCTTAAACTAATCCTGAGTCTTTTTCTTTTAGGACAGATCAATTAGCACTAGCTTACCTGTCCTAGATTTAATAGATGCCATTGCACCAAAAGCAGTTCGTCCAGAAATGGTCAAGAGAGAAGACCTTTCTTACCAAGACAAATTGAACAATGCCAAGTAAGTTTTAAATGAATGCTTCATTTTTTTCCTGAAATGCAGGAAATGCATGAATTCACAGTGTAATGCATGATTTATGGATTTATTAGGAAAAAGATAATATTGATTTTTTAAAATAGAATATAAGTTATAATGTTATTTATTTTTCTAGTGTATCTAAAATAAGAACTAAAATTCACAGCTGATATGACCTACCACCACTGCACTGAAATTGGTTTCTTAATAGTTTACCATACCTCATACTGTTTTTGACTAAAATAAATGCTTTGATAGCCAGTAGTAAAACATCTGCCAGTACACAATAATGTCCATTTTCTTCACAATAATGTCCATTTTCTAGTAGAGCCTAAGTACTGTTAAATAGGCATATACTGCTACTGAAATCTGATTTAGTTGTTGTGAATTTTGACATATTAGTAGAAGCCAGAAAGATAACAGTATTTGTTGTCTCTTGTTTTCCAAGGTATGCCATTTCAGTTGCTCGAAAAATTGGTGCTCGTATTTATGCTCTCCCAGATGATCTGGTTGAAGTGAAGCCAAAAATGGTGATGACAGTGTTTGCATGTTTGATGGGAAGAGGACTGAACAGAATAAAATAATACAGACATGTAATATAACTTTCTGCCATGTTAAGCACAATGAATGCCTCGCAGTTTACAGAGTTCTGAAACTTAGTATGAGAAATTGTATGCACAAATATCAGTTATCTTTTAATAATATCTTTATAATAGTTAATTTTCTTCAGTTTCATAACACATGAATTATTTATGGCTAATACGATTTTCAGAACATGTTCATTAGCAAATTAGCATCATAGATTTGTATTGCTTGGAAAAACCCATATGAATCAAGCTTCATTTGTATTAGTTTCCATAGCACTGTAAGAGCCTGCATTATTTTATATATGTTGTTTCAGGACCAATTATGAAACACTGTTTGATTTTTGTGGGTGTTACTTATATGTAGTCATATAAGTCTCAAGGTGCATTCCAATCCTGTTGGACTCCAAACTGCACAGAAATTATCATCCTTGCCTTATTCTTGGAGAGCTTAACTCTTGTTGGAGCCAATGAGTCTTGTCATTGACTTCAGAGCAAGTAAAGGTCTATGATAATGTCTGATTACTAATGAGTACTGATTAAACTGATGAAACTTTTTTGTGGGAATTATCTTTAAATATATGTAGTAGTTCTGTTACTTAGCAGAAACTTTTACAAACCATGTTGTATGAAAAAAACAGCAATAGAAAGCAGAATGTCCTGTCATTGTTAGGTCTGCCTATGTGCTAAGTTTTGCAGTTGGACTAAACAGCTGTTGGTTGAGTTTTTTTTAATCTTTTCATAAAATATTGTATTAAGAAAACAATAAAGAGCTGGCTAGGCCACTATGGAATTTCTCATTACTGTATTGCATTTCTTTATATATCATTTCTTTGATTTTTTAAAAAGTGTGTATCGTGTGCAGAGGTTTTGTGTAGAAAGATTGGTGTGTTGTCTGGATGAGATGAAATACGTATTTTATCTTGGCAATTTTAAAGTAACTATTTGTACTTCTTTTTCATCAGCTGTATATATTTACTTACCAAGCTGGGGCTGGATATTTAATAAAGTTGTTATCAGAAGCCAAACAATAAGAAAACTAAATCAAAATTAAAGATACTATTTTTTTAAGTATGAAGCTTCTACTTTCTCTCAGGTCCTGAAGCCAGTCCTAAGTGTGGCAGAACCGGAGAATCCTGATGAGCAAGCAGTTGGACTAAGTTTTACATCTTCACTATGTGTCACACAAGGTAGCAATACTAAGGGATGCATCCATCCAGTTTCTATGATATAATGGGATAAAGGAGACTGAAGGGAATTAAGTGCTCAGATTTGAAGCCATTAGCCTCTGCCTGTTTACTGGTTTGCATTGTTGGGACTTGATTTACTTGGTTTCTATTCCTAGTCCAAGATGATGATAGAGATTTGTACAGAATTTGAGTTCTGGCGACAACTCAGTCCAAGTCCTCATTCAGGAGAGGCTATATGGAGACTTAGTCTGTATACTGTAAGAATAAATGATCTTTTATTAAATTCTAGAATCCTCAAGTACTGTATTTACCTGCCAGACACTTGGTACCTTACTCCATAAAGGCCACTATTTCCTGTTTTATAAACTATTGCCGTAGCTGTGCAGAGTTGCTTCAGAGTTGCTTTAAGGAAATGTTCATGGGCAATCCTTTGATGCTGTGATGAGCAGGGCCGTAGTTGCTGTAGCGGCTGGGAGAAAATAGATTTAAGGGCCGCCCATGAGGTGCTGCAGCGCGCCCTGGCTCGCGGGCAGGCTGCGGCTGCCGGCCCGCTGCGGGGCGGGGCAGGGCCGCGCTCGGAGCCTGCGCACTGCGGCGGGGAGCGGCCGCCCGGCCCGGCCCTGCCCGGCCCTGCC